AGTGTGTGTGTGTGTGTGTGTGTGTGTGAGAGAGAGAGAGAGAGAGAGAGAGAGAGCGCGCACGTGCACGCAAGAGAGTTTGGCCATGTCTTGTTTTATTAATATTTGACTCTTCTTCCCCAGGACTTGTATATAAAAAGACTAGTGGTGCTGTCTCATCCTAGTTTGTCCTTTATTTCCTACAGATCGTCAACTACGTATTTTCCTATTTGAATCCTGATGACACACATAATGACGACTTTCCTTCTTCAAAGCAATTCTACACACATGCTCTAGCTGCACATCAGCAAGGAACAGACTGGAAGCCCCGGGTGTCTGAGTGCCACCCCACACCTACTGTGTGCTCTGCCTGAAGGTCGGCCTGGCAAACGCCCACCGGCTCCAGCCCCACAGGGCCATCCAATCCGCTCAGCCAACTCAGCTCACCTCATCTGCACACGATAGGCTCACAAAGTCTTAGGATTCTGGTGTTCCAAGCCCAGAGATTCATTCAGACCCAAGAGCACATCCTTTATTTCATCTCTGCTCCAACCCACCTTCTTTTCTCCCCACAATTAATGTTATTGTGTTTTTTTTACAAGACCAAAGGCCTGTATGCTGAAGAAGATTCAGAAAAGCCAAGTGGTGTTCAAAGGAAACCAAAATCATCTACAATCACTGATCCCTGGAGATAATCAACGAACATTTCAGTGCATCATACATCAGGTTGTTTTGACTGTATAGATTTTTGTAATGGGGGTCATAGTATTCACACTGTGTTGTGATCTGTTTTCAGTTGGCACGTCAGAGGACCCTCCTATGTTAATAAATACAACAACGTCATCACTGCCGTTACTACGCAGTGTCCGATGTGCAGACCTCCCATAATTTACCAACAGCGTCTCCTGGGGATGGGCCTTCACGTGGGTTAGAACTTGGTGCCAATAGAATCCTGTCTGCTTTCTAATTGCAGGATGTTCTCCAATCAGAAACACAAGGAAGGATCTCCATTTCCCACAGGACCACACCGAGAATAAACTCTACTCTTGGTCTATCTTTTTTCAGTGGTATTTGGGCCAACAGAAGTGAAAAGGAAAAACAGAGAAATGTACCTTCTCCCCCCGACCTCCCCGGCCGATCTGGCAGAAGCGAGGACCACAACCCCCAGCTTTGCGGGACATGGAGAAGCAGGACAATCCACGGTGACTCCGGCCACCTCAACCTACACAGCAGCCGGGGGGGGCGGGGCGGTCTATCCATCCTTCCTTTCTGGTTCTTTCAAAAATATTTATAAATAAAAAGACAAATGGCATTTACATCCTTGCTTTGCTAGCCAGGCCGCTTTCTCTGTAAACACCTTCTCTTGCTTCCACAACAGGTTAAAAGAAGCACCATTTGTGCAGCTTTCCAATCCAGACTGAAGGGCACTCAGTGGGGTCCAGGCCACGATGCATGCCTCCTCCCTGGAGGAGAAATAAATCTCTGGCAAAGCAACTGCCCAACTAGAGTGTTCGACGCCTGCCAGGAAAACGGACCAAATCTCAATCCAGCTGAATCCCAAGCGGGAAAAGAGGTCAGACTTGCCCGAGAAAGAACCTGTGAGGTCAGTGAGAGACCCCTGGCTTCCCGCATGAAGGTCACGTGCACTTGCCTCCCATCCATGGACCACTTACCCATGTATGCTGCCCAGTGCAGGGCCCGCCGGTCCTTCTTGTCAAAGGCGTTGATGTTCGCCCCTTTGGCCAGGAGTAGGTTGACCATCTGCAAGATAAACCAAGAGTGAGGTCCCGTGTGCACTGTGGACGGGGGAGGGCCCCTCGCTGCCTGCAGGGGAACTGCGCCAAGTGGAAGGCCAGGCCGGTCAGAGATCGGAGTTCAAACAGAGTTCAAACCCGGCAGCATGTGTATCAGGAGAAAAAAACTCAGGTGATGGCTACTTTTTCAATTCGCTGTGGCTCCAAATTTAAAAATGGATATAGCCTGGCCAGCGTGGCTCAGTGGTTGAGCACAGACCTATGAACCAGGAGGTCACAGTTCCATTCCCAGTCAAGACACATGCCCGATCCCCAGTGTGGGGCTCGCAGGAGGCAGCCGATCAATGATTCTCTTCTATCATTGATGTTTCTATCTCTATCTCCCCCTCTTTCTTCCTCTCTCTAAAATCAATAAAAACATATCTTTTAAAAATATTTTAAAAGAAAAATCTTCAACAATCAAAAGTACTTTTATATTTTTAAGTATGTTTACTTCTAATGGATTAAGCCACTGGAATTGTAGAGTTTGTTACAACAGCTAAAGCTATTCTAATACAGAACCTTAGCAGTTGTCAACATTCATTGTATAGATAAGGGAACTATGGCCTGGAAAATTAAGGGACTTATCAAGTGTCACAGAGCTAGTTAGTGAAAAGCTCTGGTTTGTTAAGCTACAAATCCAGGTGGTCATTTTCTTTCTTTATCTCTCTGTCTCACTGTCCCAGCTCACTTAACACTCTTGTCCCTAGTGGCTCCCAGAAAATAAACCGTAATAGAAAGTGATATCCACCGTCTTAGCAGACAATTTCATATCATAGTACCTACCCTGGAATTGCTCCTGAAATTACCAGATGTCTTTCTGTAAACCTTGGTCATCGAGTTTGGTATAACACACTTTGAAAAATAATACTTTTTCTAAAATGAAAACTTCATTAGCTAATCCTGGGTGTTTGGTTACCTAAAAATCATATGGATATTCTGCAATTTTTTTACCTATTAGCATCAAGATGGACTGGACTATTGTGACTAAACCAAATTATGCCCTATAACGTTTTTAAAAAGTGTTATCAAAGGGAAACTTCTTTAAAATAAACATGTGAGGATTAAAAAAAACTATGAAGAAAATCACGTGTCTTAGCCATTCAAAAAACCACAACCCCCAGCTTTGCGGGACATGGAGAAGCAGGACAATCCACGGTGACTCCGGCCACCTCAACCTACACAGCAGCCGGGGGGGGCGGGGCGGTCTATCCATCCTTCCTTTCTGGTTCTTTCAAAAATATTTATAAATAAAAAGACAAATGGCATTTACATCCTTGCTTTGTTAGCCAGGCCGCTTTCTCTGTAAACACCTTCTCTTGCTTCCACAACAAGTTAAAAGAAGCACCATTTGTGCAGCTTTCCAATCCAGACTGAAGGGCACTCAGTGGGGTCCAGGCCACCACGATGCATGCCTCCTCCCTGGAGGAGAAATAAATCTCTGGCAAAGCAACTGCCCAACTAGAGTGTTCGACGCCTGCCAGGAAAACGGACCAAATCTCAATCCAGCTGAATCCCAAGCGGGAAAAGAGGTCAGACTTGCCCGAGAAAGAACCTGTGAGGTCAGTGAGAGACCCCTGGCTTCCCGCATGAAGGTCACGTGCACTTGCCTCCCATCCATGGACCACTTACCCATGTATGCTGCCCAGTGCAGGGCCCGCCGGTCCTTCTTGTCAAAGGCGTTGATGTTCGCCCCTTTGGCCAGGAGTAGGTTGACCATCTGCAAGATAAACCAAGAGTGAGGTCCCGTGTGCACTGTGGACGGGGGAGGGCCCCTCGCTGCCTGCAGGGGAACTGCGCCAAGTGGAAGGCCAGGCCGGTCAGAGATCGGAGTTCAAACAGAGTTCAAACCCGGCAGCATGTGTATCAGGAGAAAAAAACTCAGGTGATGGCTACTTTTTCAATTCGCTGTGGCTCCAAATTTAAAAATGGATATAGCCTGGCCAGCGTGGCTCAGTGGTTGAGCACAGACCTATGAACCAGGAGGTCACAGTTCCATTCCCAGTCAAGACACATGCCCGATCCCCAGTGTGGGGCTCGCAGGAGGCAGCCGATCAATGATTCTCTCTTATCATTGATGTTTCTATCTCTCTCTCCCTCTCCCTTCCTCTCTGGAATCAATAAAAATATATTTAAAAATAGGTAAATAAAAATGGATATAAATGCCTGTGGTTTTGTGTACAAATATTATGACCACATTCCGTAAAGGTCTCAGCAGTAATATTAGGTTCCACTGTGGGCTGAGAGAGAGAGAGAGAGAGAGAGAGAGAGAGAGAGAGAGAGGGAGAGGGGACACAGGTGGCAGATGGTTCCATCCGGGCTGAGAGAGCGGGAAGGAGGACCCTTGCTCCCAGGGGTGAGGACGCCCACCTCCACGTGGCCGTTGAGAGCGGCGTGGTGCAGGGCTGTGCGGCCGCCGCGGTCGGAGACGTTGACGCTGCTCAGCAGGGGAATGATCACTTCTGCACACCTCACGGCCTTGTTGGCGGCGGCTACGTGCAGCGGGGTCTGCCAGTTCTTGTCCCTCGCGTTGACATCAGCCGAGTGCTTAATCAATACTTGCACTGCCTCCTACAAGCAAAGCAGAGTGCGCAGGGGTCACGGACAGATGCCCGATCAATACTCCTTGGGTGTGAGCGGTTTCACCAGACCCCGAGCTACCGACAGGGGCGGCTCCTGCCCTCGCGGCTGGCTTCAGAGGGACGTTCTCCTGTGACAAGCAAAGCGAATGCGAGATAAAGATCCAGAGTGCCGCAGATCAAAACAGACTCCCTGTACGTCTCTTTGTTAGGCCAAGGGCCCTGGCACCGCTCCAACACCAAATAAACCTTCTGAGTATAAGGTTTCCTTATAAGGCAGCAGGTGTTTTTGGCCAAATGAGAGCACGCATGTGCAAGTGTGCACATCTGGGCGACATATCCTTTGGCCACAAGGCCCCCCAAGATCACCTGAGGTTAGAGGTGTTTGTCGATCAGTCTCCCCCTTCCAAAGCCCAAGGCCTCCAAGCGCTTCAGACATTCTTGGATCGATTTATAAATCTTCAGTGCTCTCGGCCAACATCGTAACCCTCACTCTGTGATCGATAAGCATGAAGCAAAGAGGATGTCTGTTACCATCTCAACCTGAAGCTACACAAGTGTTCTTCCAGCCTTTTCCATGTTACAAAGGGGTGGTTTCTCTTCTACTATTGAGTTCCTTCACCTTTCCTGAGTCTCCCACTTTTCACTTTCCTTCTATTGACCTCGTCAGCTTGTTTGCCTCTTGAACTACACCTCAACCTTGTTGTGCGATGAAACCGCCTGGGGAGCCCTTAAAAATAGATGCCTGGTCCCACCCCGAGGGTCTAGCTGGCCTCGGGCTCTCTGTGACCTCCCTGGGGACCTGGTTACGCAGCCAGGACTTCGACGCCTCTGCTGAATCAAGTGAATGATGCAGCTTCTCTGGAAAGGCGATGGGCTGTGGTTGCTTCTCTTTATTTCCAGAGACATCCTTGGGGCAGTTAATGGAGCTCCTGTATAGACATCTTATCAATCTGTCATCCATGAGCCAGTGAAAGGCATCAGTCCCATACTCCTGCCACCCTTCTTGGACCAAGTGCTCACCGCTGTCCACCCTGATCCCCACAGGCCTGGAGTGACCGGGCTACGTTATCATGCAAGTATATGAAAGTGCCCCCGATAGAAGACAATTCGAACTCTCAAGATTAATACTTTCATCAGGGACATAAATGATAAAATAAAAAGAATGTTCCATAAATCAGTACATGTGGAAGGGAATGGCTAACTGAGTAGAATGAGGGCTGGTAAAAGAAATTAACTTTGCAAATTAGAGAATCTAGTTTAAAGAAGTAGTGTAACTCCACTTAGATGCTATAAATAAAGGGTAATAAGCTGACAGGGCCCAAGCAAGCAATTTGTTAAGATTACCAAAAAGGGGAGGAAATATATCTGCCACCCATCCTTAGCAAGACAGACAATAAAATAATGATTGCTAAATAGTCCTTGAGCCCATTTCAGAGCAAAACATGTGTACCCATTATGCTCACATACTGTGCTGTGCGGAACATGGCTAGAACTATGGAAGGTTGAGAGAAATATTACCCAGGTAGGTTCTATCCTAAAAACTAGCCGAGTGCACAAAAAATAAGCAAAAGAGAAGCTCAATCACAATAAAGCATTAAAATTTAAATTAGAAAAATGATATTTTTATCAACTTTGTTCTCATAAATATGGAGGTTTAAGTAGACGCACAGGCAATTAATTCGTTGTGATGTGGGAAGAAAATATTGGAACCTTCAGTTGTATTTTTCTTTAAAAAGGAAAGCATTTCAGCTGGCATTTAACTTCTGGGTTGGCGCTGTGCCCTCAGTCAGCTCTGCAGAGGATCTGGCCTCACAGTATTGGGGATGCCCTCAGGGAAGAGGGGGACTTCCACAGTCCTGAGGGCGTGGGGTGGCCCTGGCTCCTTTCATTCGCTGAGAGTGCACCCAAAGGCACAGGGAAGGGCCTGCCACGTCCATTTACAGGTTGTGAGATGTGCCCTTAAACGAAGAGCATCCTAAACGAAGCCAGGTGTATGCAAGGAACCCGCATGAACTATGTGGAAGCTACGGAGCTGACACTTCCACTCCGGGTAAAGCTTCCTATCACCTACATTACAAGGTAAAGTAATGACAGATTTCATCAGATCTGACAGGGGCTTGGCCAAAACAGGAAAGCCTTCAGAAGCCTATTATCTCCCTGGGTCATGGGAGATCTGATAAATGAAGAGCCTCCCCCTGAGTCTATGGTGCCTGGAAATACGACAGCAGTTCAGTATATAATTTATAAATAAATGAGATGCACATTTTGAAGATGCATGCTGGGAAAGTTCTGCAGATACATGGCCAAAAAGATCGAAGATCATCATCTCCAAGCAGTGGTGTAAAAACTGCTGGTACAGGATGCGTTTCACACGTTCAGAGCAAAATAACAATGCCTACTGTCACTTGAATACCTTTGCCTTGTGCGTTATTTACTGCACTGGTACTAATTCTTGCTCTGCGTTAAGTAGTATGTAAATTGGGGATAGACTGACAAAACAAAATAGACAAGAACATTTCACAAATTCATACTTTTTGGAGATAAGACCAGTGAAATCATTAGAAATTTGTTTTCTAAAAGTCACAAAATGTGTTTATTTTTTGAGTAACTAAGACTAGGGGAATGAGATATTATCTTCAAGAGGTACTTCTTTTAAAGAAATATTTAGAAATGCATTTCACACAAAGTAACAGGTTACGCAAAGAAAATATGTATTTGAGTGTGTGTGTGTGTGTGTGTGTGTGCGTGTGCCTATATTCTTAAATAGGCAATACTTCTAAAAAAGTTTTAGCACAGATCATTTTGGTCTGTTTTTGTAAATAAAGTTTTATTGAAACAGCCTCATTCCCTTGAGTAGGGAGTGTCCCTACTCATCCTCGAAGGACTGGCTCAGCCAGGCATCTCTTCTTGGAAGACGTTCTCTATTCAAGCAGTTCTTTGCTTCCTCCTCCATTCGGTTCTGATGTCGTACTGATCCACTTACCTGCGTGCCTCCCCCTCCAGACTGAGAGCTCATTGAAGTCAAGGACCATGGGGCCCACCCCGGACAACCCGTCACCCCCAGCCCTGTGCCTGCCATGCAGCTGGCACTCAAATCAACAGCTGTTCATTGCTGGTAAGTAACCCTCTTGCATGCGAAGCAAAGCCTTTAGCTCACCAGTGAGAATCCTATTTCAGCAGAGAGAATGTTTCTCTCTCCAGGGACTGAAGGTGGTAGATGACATCAGGCAGCCACTCACCTCACTCCTGGAGGCCACGGCCCGGTGCAGCGGGGTCAGCCACATGTTGTCCTTGGCATTTACACGAGCTCCTGGAACCAAAGAGCACAGGTGAGAGGCATGATGCAGCAGGGGGGCGGGGGGCGAGGATGGGGGCTGAGGTCACGTCAGAGGCTGTATCTTGCGCTCTCACTTGCCCGGCACAATCACCACGCTGCGTTTTGTTTTCCCCTGTATCAGCCCCGTGCTTTCTGGCAACTGCACAGGAGGAGACCCCCAGGGCTGCCGAGGAGCGAGATCAAGAACTGAGAATGTCCGAGAAGTGGTAAAGACTGGGTGGGAAATACGGCATCTCACTGGGCAGGAGACACAGTGGTGAGAGGATGGTTCTCCAGGGCTGTGGACATGTGTGTTCTGAGGAATGAAGGACTTTTCCAGTGTGTGTGTGTGTGTGTGTGTGTGTGTGTGTGTGTTCCTGAATAGAAGGTATATTCCTGGATATAAAATACATAACCAGATAAAGTATTTTCTGTTTAGTCATTAAGGATATCTATCTCACAGGGCACACAACACTCTCTTGGCAAACGGTCAACGACAAGCAGCCTTCCAACTAGTGTGCACGAGGGGCCAGTCCGCTTCCAAACACGTCGGGCGAAGTTGAGTTCTGAAGGGATTTCGTCTGGGCTGAGAGGATCAGCAGAAATCTCCTTTACCCAGGAGTCCCCATTCTGTCTCTGGGACTAGCCAGGCATTTCGGTGGGAATAAGGCAGCCTCCATGGAGCGCTGGGGCAGACGAACAGGAAGCCTGTGTGGGCTGCGCATGGCTCCTCACACTGTGGGGGGAGACAGGCTCCCTCACATTGTGGGGGGACAGATAGGCTCCCTCACTCTGTGGGGGACAGACAGGCTCACACCAGCCAGACCCCGCTCATACCCCAGCAGGAGCCCGCTCTCATTCACAGTTTCATCTCCGGAGCCACCTCCATCAAGGAGCAGACGCCCCAAATGAACGGAGTCAAGGACAGCAGAATCGGCCCTCCTTCCGTGACACCCTCACAATCCTCACCAGGGCAAGCCCTCCAGGTCTACAGCTGACCTGATAAAACACCCCATCTGCCCGATCTGCGTGGCTCAGTGGTTGAGTATTGAGCAATGAACCAGGAGGTCACGGTTCCATTCTCGGTCAGGGCACGTGCCCAGGTTGTGGGCTCAGTCTCCAGTGGGGGGCATGCAGAAGGCAGCCGATCAATGATTCTCTCTCATCATTAATCTTTCTCTCCCTCCCTCTCTTTTCCTCTCTGAAATCAATAACAAAAAAAGTATATTTTTTAAAAGAAAATTAAAAAATAAAACAACCCCATCTGAGCTCCCTTTTCAGGGGGCTTCAGGGTTTTGACCAGTCTTCTGATCAGAGATGGAAAGTTTTGTTAAAAGGGCTACTAAAGAGGAGGAGCAAGAGAAAATGCCGTCATCTGCGATGCAGTATGATGAGACTCTTTTGGCCTTAGGACAACAAGGAAGGAAGTTGGTGAGGAAGAAGAGTGAGGAAGCGAGCGAGGCAGGCAGAGGAGGGGAGGGGGGGCGGTGCCTCTGGGCCAGGCTGGGACAGGAGGCCAGTGGAAGCAGGGCTGGCTCATCGCTGTGAGGCCAAGGCCAGCTGACAGCTTAAAAAATAGAACCTTGTTTTTTTTTATGTGTGTGTTTTTTCAAAAGGCACCAGGAGATGATGAGCTAGAAATTTAGTTTAAGATACCAGCTAAAAGGAAATAACAAATAATAGACCGTACACAATCTTTTTCTCTTTAACTGAAGGACAAATACCATTAACGATATTAATTATAGAAAACAAGAACATAATAATCCCTAAAACCAAGAGACAGACTCCTGTCCTCCCACCCCCCAGACTAATTTCACTGGTTTGAGATGGAGCCAGGCACATCTATACTTTAAAATTTTTTTAAATATATTTTTATTGATTTCAGAGAGGAAGGGAGAGAGAGAGAGAGAGAGACAGAAACATCAATGATGAGAGAGGATCATTGATCTGCTGCCTCCTGCACTCCCCACACTGGGGATGGAGCCCACAACCCTGGCATGTGCCCTGACCGGGAATCAAACCGTGACCTCCTGGTTCATAGGTTGATGCTCAACTACTGAGCCACACCGGCCGGGCCTGGGGAGCTTTGAAGGTATACTTGTGGCACGGCCAGCGTGGCTCAGTGGTGTTTCTCCCACTCTTTCCCACTTTAACTATGGGGGGGGGGACCACTTTGTAAAGTATATGATTCTTGAACCACTACGCTGTACAGCTGAAGCTAATACAGAATAATATTGAATATAAATTGTAATTGAAGAAAAAACTGAGTTGACTGTTTTGAATGACAAAATTCGCTAGTTGCAAAATAAAATAATTCAGGAAGTTGAAAAAAACTGTATTAGGGAGAGGCAAATGACAGCAACCTTGGCGTACCATGTCACACCCATCAAATTGGTGAAAATGACACAGTCTGACAACGCTAAGAGTTAGCAAGAGTGGGGAGCAGCAGGAAGGCTACGTACAGAGGGTGTGAGTGTGGACGGGTGTAGGCCCTTTGGGAAGCAGTTTGGTTCCACCTGGTAACACTGAACAAATGAAGTTGCAGGATAATACCTATGGCATAATACCAGTCACATACAGTTTTTAAATTGACAAAAACAATGCCGTATGTTGTCTATAGATGCACAGACAGGAAGTAAAAGTAGCAACTACGGCTAAAGAAACCAGCATTCTCTAGAGTGGGTGCTCTGGGGAGGAGGGTGGGGAAAAGGATGAGCAGGCACAGCCAATGGGCTGCAACTGTGTCGTCAACGTTTTATTTCCTTTAAAAAAGGATACGATGTGAATATGGCAACTTTGACTTCATAAATCTTGGTGTACATGGTATTTATTATATTGTTTTCCACATTTTTCAGTATGTTAGAAACATACAATGTTCTTAAGAGAGCTAACATATTTGAAGTTTGATGTTTCTTAATAAAATGGAGGACGGGGTGTTAACTTGCTTTTTTTACACTATTTTATTCTTGGTCAGTGGCCCTTGATTAAATAAATGACACATCCGCCCTCGCTGGTTTGGCTCAGTGGATAGAGCATCGACCTGTGGACTGCAGAGTCCCGGGTTCGATTCCGGTCAAGGGCACATGCCAGGGTTGAGGGCTCGATCCCCAGTGGGGGCTGTGCAGGAGGCAGCCGATCAATGACTCTCTCATCATTGATGTTTTTTTCTCTCTCTCTCTCCCTCTCTCTTCCTCTCTGAAATCAATAAAAATATATGTTTTAAAAAGAAGAAGTATATGTCTAAAAAAAATGACACGTCCACTCTTTCCATATAAAGTGGTCCCGCCACCCAGGATCCTCCAGGATTTTCCTACGGCTCAGGCCAGGGAATAAGGATAATACATAGTAAGAGGCTGTTGGTGGAACAGTCCTATTGAAAAGGAACTTTCCAGTTGAGGATGTGTTCCATGCTGGCGGCATCTTAACGTTTCTTTCGTGCCCTCCTCTCTCCACAGCCGCTGTGCTGGTCCCAAACGCAGGCCTCACCGCGCCCCCCCCCCCCCCCCCCCCACACACACACACACAGCTGCAGGGCAGCCAGAGGCCAGGAGCTCAGCCAGGAAAGGCAATGGGGAAGCCACGCCCACGCAGAGGGCAGCGCTCTGTCTCCGGGAACCTTCCGTTGACTCCAAATGCCATCCTGTCATCACCACTTTGTGAACCTAAGCAGCTCATCCCCCGTAGCTCCATCACCAGCCAGCCAACCAGGACACTCATGAGGGCAGGGTGCCTGCGTGTAGCACATGCTCAGACCTGAGTCCACCTGCTTGGCCACCGCATGTCAGAATTTTACCTTCAACCTCCCTCTCTTCCTTCTCCCTGCCCCCTTCTCCTCCTTTCCTCTCCCTCCCTCCCTCCCCACCCCCGTGACATACAACCTGCTCTGCCTTTGTGTGCGGCATTAGAAGGCTCTATATCATGTTCCTAAGGGACATAACTTGGAGTTATAACCATTGAAAATGTTGCAAATCCGATGAGAGGGGAATGGCATCTCGTTGCGGTGCCTTCCTGTTTAACAGTGCGGTTGGGTATCTGCTAATGCTTGTCTCCTGCCCACTCATCATTCATTCTCCGGGAACTGCCTGTTCAGATGCTTCGCCTGTGTCCCTTATTCTTCTATTCTTGTTTGTCCTTATAATTTATAGACATTTGCATTGTGTTGTTATGATAATTTTTATTTATGTATTCTGAAAACTTTCAGTTGTATGTAGATCCCAGTGTGGCTTTTAATATTAAAATTCTCTCAAGGAGAAAAATGACCCCGAGCTGGCTGAGCTCATAAAGCAACCCCCCCTCACCCCCTCTTGTGTAACACACCCCGGCACTGCTTTCCTGCGGCTCCAGGTACTGAAAGTTCATCACAGAGCTGGGAAGGGGCTTCTCACGGTCACCGCTGAGTCCCCTGTCCCTCCACTCGTCCTCCAGGAAAGCTCCCCTCCCCAGCAACGGAATTATTAAGACAAAAGCAGAGTTATCTGAACGGGGACCGGGCAGTATTTCATCAGTGTCATCCCTGCCACTGGCTTCCTCGGCCTCTTTCCGGAACACATCCAGCCTTGTTTACATGTCAGCGGGAGACGACGGTTGAGTATTTATAACTGACTTTTCTAAAGGACGCTCCCTCTTATTTACCTGCCCGTCAGGCGCCATGGTGCACCGAAGGACACGGGGCCTGCATGCCGAGTGATTTAAAGGCAGATGCGGTGTGCCCAAGGACATCTGAAGCTTAAGTGATTATTCCTTAAATGGTAGGCTCTCCTGATTCTTCAGAAACAGAGACCCAGCTCACAGTTGTCAGGCATGAACGCTGATTGCGAGTTAAGTGTGTTTTGCGTCTCACCCCTATTACCACCTGATTGTATGTTCACAGGGAGCTCTGAGCGTCTTTTCCAGAGGCGACATGTCTGTTCTCTTAGCCCTGTCGTCTAGGAAAAAGTAGAACAAAGACCAAAGGTACACGAGGGACTGAAAAAGCTTAGAGGTCAAAGAGGATAACTGATTCTCAAGGCTGATGTATCCCCAGTTTGGCTTTTAATTACAGAAACAAACAAGTATAGACCAGAAATCATATGAAACATGATGAGGATATAATGAAATGGGCTCGCTATTGATTTTTTTCACGCAGAGACCAAATCTTATTACAGCCCAGGAGCAGTGTCCTTCAAAGCAATGACTTTGGAAGCGTGTATGATAATCCCGTGGATGTGGCAACAGCTCAGAGCATCTTCGGCACTCCCCCTGGACTTGCCGTTGGAGCCGGTTGCCATGCCCACCAGAAATGGCTCATCCCCTGATAATCACACCACCTCTGGAGGCAAAACCAGCACTGCCTGGTTTAATCACCTTCACCTCTTGGGGGTGGAAAATCACACACACAAAAACCAAGTCCAATCTTAAGGGATGAGTATTTGTTATGCATAAGAGCATCAAAGCAATGGCCTGCCGGGGCTCAGGAGACAATTTGCGTTGGGAGCAGAAATCACATTTTGAAAGATCACAGGAAATCCCTTTACCGGAACACCCCTTGTTGGGTGGCCTACATGCAAATGAACTCACTGTTTTGAATTCGTACTTACACCTCACACATCCCATGCTAGAGGGTGAGGATTCAATGTTCTTCCTCCAGCCCAGGGCGCTAACCCGTGTGCATCCCAGTTTCTCTACAGCTGCTGTCACTGGGGTCGTGTTCCCGTGCGCTCCGCTTCCTACACCACAACCTTGTCCCTTAACTCTCATCCACTCACTGGTTCACGTTGGTCTCATGCATGCAGCTCTGGGCAACAGCGAGCTCTTGACCTTCTCTCTGACTTGAGCCTGACAAGGCCAGTTCCCAAACAGAAGCTAGAGTCAGGTGGGGAAGTAAAGCCAGAATCCGCTCCGGCGGTTACAGGAAGCAGGATTTCGCAAGGCCTATTCCTCTTTGCTCAGGGGCCTCGGGGCTCCATCTGCCTGGCTAACAGGAGACAATGTCGGGAGGGATTAATGGGGTTGGGTTACACTACACTCTGCAAGTTAATACAACAATAGAGAACACAGCTGTAATGGGCTATTCTGGCAAACCAAATTATTTGTCCAACATGGGAATCATTAACACTTCATTTGTTATGAAGTTGGAGAAGAGTTTGGGTGGATTCCCTAAAGCAGTGGTTCTCAACCTTCTGGCCCTTTAAATATAGTTCCTCATGTTGTGACCCAACCATAAAATTATTTTCGTTGCTACTTCATAACTGTAATGTTGCTACTGTGATGAATTGTCATGTAAATATCTGATATGCAGGATGGTCTTAGGCGACCCCTGTGAAAGGGTCGTTCGACCGCCAAAGGGGTCGCGACCCACAGGTTGAGAACCGCTGCCCTAAAGGGTCAGCTGCCAGATGAAAGCTCAGAGATGAAATCATCCTGCTCTTACAGTGACATTTCCTTAGGAATATAATATACAACTGGATACAGGACTCCTAAGGGAAAACTAAAGCCATGTGAATTCCAAGCGTTTATCTAAAGCTTCCACAGTTGAGTAAAATTTATCAAGAACCTTCCCAATGCTCTCTCAGACCCTAAATCTTTCTAATTTAATGGGGTAGGAGAAATTCCATGTCATGTGCCACCCAAAATTATACTGGAGAGGTTAACAGCTCAGAATTCCAAGACAAAGAGGTGTACAGATCAAGATATATTCTCCAGGCTCCACTGAATGAGCCACATTTAAGAGTGGCTGGCCCTAAACTGAGCTGATATGGCTCAGTGGATAGAGCGTCAGCCTGAGGACTGAAGAGTCCTGGGTTTGATTCCGGTCAAGGGCACATGCCTGGGTTTCAGGCTTGATCCCCAGTGTGGGGCATGCAGGAGGCAACTGACCAATGATTCTCTCTCATCATTGATGTTTCTATCTCTCTCCCTCTCCCTTCCTCTCTGAAATCAATAAAATTAAAAAAAAAAAGAGCAGCTGGTGGACTCTATGACACGTGGAGGCACCTAAGGAAAACAGAGGGTCAACTTCACGCTGCGGAATTAAAACCTTCTCTTTCAGGTGTGGAAAAACAGACAAAAACCAAGCTTGGGGTCCAAGACAAGGTTCTGAATTCACACATTCATGAACCTAATGTTTTTCTGAGACTCTGAGGTGTCTCTTCATACATTTGGGTGGTGAGGACAGCAGTTGGGACCATTAGGTGTCATACCACAAAGTTCTTTACTTTACACCCCACTGGTTTCCGCCTACAATTTTCCATGGGCCTAGACTCTATCGCTGGGGCAGCCAGCCAGGTGCTCACTGGCTCTGAGCCTTGGTCCGTGCCAACACCGAACAATGCGTGTTTGTTTGGCCTCCGGCCCTGGAACATCTTAGAACCGTCAGAGGAGGCCTGCTCTCAGGAACACAAGGACGCCACACAGACTCCCACCCAGCGCCAGGCAACGGCCAGGAGCGCAGGCCGCAGGTCTAAGGCACAGAGCACTTGTGTCCAGGAAAGCCCACCGCGAAGGGGACACAGCACAAGGAGGCAATGTAACCTTCCTTGTGTGTCCCAGCACAATTGTTGTTTTTGTTGGTTTGTTTATTAATCCTCACCCAAGGGTATTTTTTGCAATGATTTTTAGAAAGAGTGGAAGGAAGGGTGAAGGAAAGAGAGAGAGAGAGAGAGAGAGAGAGAGAGAGAGAGAGAGAGAGAGAGAGAAACACTGATGTGACAGAGACACATCAATTGGTTGCCTCCCACATGTGCCTCTACCAGGGCTGGAGATGGAGCCTGCAACCAAGGTACGTGCCCTTGACCGGAATCTAACCTGCGACCCTTCAGTCCACAGGCCGACACTCTAACCGCTGAGCCAAACCGGCCAGGGATCCCAGCACAATTCTGTTTCCTTCCCACAATGTCCTCCACATCTGCTTAAACACCTGCAGCAGCTCCACCCGTGCGCAGCTCACTTTGGGTTCTACAGTTCCCTTTGCTACAGCAAACAAAGGCCGAGCCTCAGTGCAGGCCTTTGCATAGTCCAAGTTTTAACCTCCCCAACAGAAGGGAGGAGGAAAGGCAGCGGATCTGCACGTGATCCACCCCAGGACGCGTGCACGTGCTCAGATTCATTCCCGGCCCTTGTCTGGCGAACGCTGAAGGCGGAGAGCACATACTGATTTCAGAAACCTGCTCCGTGGGAGGTACCAAGGCCGGCCTCAGTGCAGGCCTTTGCATAGTCCAAGTTTTAACCTCCCCAACAGAAGGGAGGAGGAAAGGCAGCGGATCTGCACGTGATCCACCCCAGGACGCGTGCACGTGCTCAGATTCATTCCCGGCCCTTGTCTGGCGAACGCTGAAGGCGGAGAGCACATACTGATTTCAGAAACCTGCTCCGTGGGAGGTACCAAGCACACAGGTTTCCAAAAATGAAAGCCTTGGCGTTTTTAACTCAGACAAAATACTTAAAATCCATAGAAAAATAAAGAGAATATCGTAAAGACCAGTGCACATGCAAATCAGATTTAACACATTTGCCAAATTTGCTTCCAATTTTTAGAAAAGAGAATACTTTACAGAGTTGTAGCCTCTTTTATGCCCTTCCCTGAAAACACCCCTCACTCAGCCTACCTCCTCAGAAGTAAGTAACCACTGTCCAGAAATTAATGTTTCCTTTCCTTGCGTGTTTTTATATTTTTATTACACGGCCATAGTCATAGGTCCATAAACAGAACAAAGCATTGTTTTGCAGTGCAATTCAGATCTATGTACATACACACACATTTGTGTCTGTTCATATAGACTCTAAGGAACCAGTTTGCCTGTTTGTTCTTTTATAAAGACATCCAAATACGCTGGACTCACCTACCATGCTGGGCCCGATAGACAGTCAGGAATCAGATTTTCAAACCACACATAAGTTTTACTGGAGACGTCATTTTTCAATAAGAACAACTTCTTGCGCCCGAGCCGGTTTGGCTCAGTGGATAGAGTGTCAGCCTTGGACTGAAGGGTCCTGGGTTCAATTACAGTCAAGGGCACATGCCCAGGTTTCAGGCTCAATCCCCATTAGGGGGCATGCAGGAGGCAGCCAATCAATGATTCTCTCTCATCACTGATGTTTCTATCTCTCTCTCCCTCTCCCTTCCTCTCTGAAATCAATAAAAAAATATATATATTTTTTTAAAAAGAACTTCTTGCACTTTTTACACATTTAGTGACAAAATCGCTGATCAAATAAACTTCCACGAGCCCCATAAGGAAACTGCGGTCCTTCACGTGGTCACTGTAATGAGTGGGTCGCTGGCGTTATCTGCGGTGACTACGCACGGCTGGCATTTACCTGAAAGGATCAGGAGCTCGATGATCTCGGCATCTCCCAGGAACGCGGCCACGTGCAGCGGAGTGCGCTTCTCCGAGTCCTGCAACCAGGGCAACAGTAAGCAAGTCAGTGTGGCCGCAGGGGCCTTTGGGAGACACAGCAAGACAGCACACCCTCTGAGGCTCACGCTTGGGAGAGATCGAAGGCCAGACACCTACTCAGGCGAGTTCCACTTACACGTTTCCCTCAGCATCTCCCCCAGGCCCATGCACGTGAGATCCCATTTTCTGAGTCTGTGTCCTGTTGGCCTCGCTCTCCTGCTAGGGAAGGTCAGCTCCGGTCAAGGATGGCCCATCATGCACTAGATGATGGAACTGAATTTATTTTCAAGCCTTCAGTAATGGCTGAAAAACACCAATCTGAACCATTCTACCTACCCGCACTGCATAGCACAAAGCTTTCAATGATTTGTGTTTGCTGACCACGGCACTAGATGATGGAACTGGATTTATTTTCAAGCCTTCAGTAATGGCTGAAAAACACCAATCTGAACCATTCTACCTACCCGCACTGCATAGCACAAAGCTTTCAATGATTTGCTTTCTTTCTGGAATTTTTCACAAGGACATTGAACATAGGTACGGTCATTTTCTTCTTTCTATCTCCATTCACTGTGGCCTACACACTTCCCATTCATGTAATACTTACTGAATGCCTACTGTGTGCCAGGAACCAACGTGTGGGGACGGGAGGGTAACTGTGAAAGGCCCAGTCCCTGCCTTCAAGTAGGAGGCCAACAGTAGTCATGAACACAAATGACACAGTAAGATCATTTCAGATGGTGATAACAAAATTAAAACAGGGTGATGGGACCAAGTGACTGGGAAGATGGGAATAAAATTCCTTAGAGTGCTCAGGTAAGGCCTTCCTGAGGATGCTGACAGTGAGGTCTAAGTAGACACTGTTAGTACTGTTTTATAGATGAGAAACTGTGGCTCAAATAAATTACAAAATTTCCTCAAGACCCCATCAGTGCATAGCAGAGCCAAACTGAATTCTTCCCCACTCTACGTCCTTGGCAAGGCCTTTCACATACTGTGCTCAGAGGCAGTACAATAACATGCAAGGGGAAAATTGCTTCCCCATCTGTACATCGGAGATAGTAATACTCAGCTTAGAGAATTGATAAGAGAATTCAAGGTAATGCAAGTCAACAAAGCGGGGGCAGGCACGAGGCTTGGCCATGCACAGCCAGTGCTCCGTGCACAGCCATCGTTGCCATCAGCACAGACACTCCTGTGACATCTTCCCTCCAAGCCTGAGGACTCTCAGGACCAAGCCCGGGTCTCACTCCCGCTTATCCCTAGAGCAGTAGCAAACTAGGTGCTCAGCAGAAGCTGGCCAAACCGAACTGCGTGCACGGTCTCCCCCACAAACATCCAGCCACTGCGCCATAACAGTGGCAGCCAAAGTCTGCATGCTGCCTTTGAGGTTTCTCCTAAAACTAGCCTGCGTTTTAGTTTCCAGAGATTCATGGATTCATGATTAATCTTACTCATCCTTCCTGTGATAACCTGATGATACAAGCCACCTCACAACCCTGGATTAGGCCAAGGAGATGATCCTATTTTCTGACAGCTCAGCCCTCTGCTCTTCCAGACTCGTACTTTCAGGCACTTCATGACGCACTAACACCTAAAACAGATGGCAGCCAGAGGACACAGCAAGAGCTGATCTCCAACTGGTCTATTTGTTAGGAGGTCTGGCAAATAGGCTTTATGACGGGATGGACTAACTTTTAAGTAGATAAAAAGAGGAGACTGGCCAGGCCGGTGTGGCTCAGTGGGTTAGAGCGTCGTCCTGTGCCCCGGAAGGTCACAGGTTCGATTTCCAGTCAGGACATGTACCTGGGTTGCAGGTTCGATCCCCAGCACCAGCCAGGGCACATGCAGGAGGCAACCAATCAGTGTTTCTTTCTCTCTCTTCTCCCTCCCTTCCTCCCTAAAATCAATGGGAAAAATATCTTCAGTGAGGATAAAAAAAAATAAATTTAAAAAAAAGAGGAGCCTGCATTAGCTGGGAATGTATGTTGT